TGTGTGTGTGTGTGTGTGTGTGTGTGTGTGTGTGTTTTATTATGCAACAATCTGCCTGCTGCTGTTTCATAGCATCACCAGAGTTTCTGCCCATGAATCAATGGCAGCAGGATGTGTTGGCGAGCAGAGCCAATGCAGCAGCCAGGCACCTTCTGCAGCATCACGCTGAGGGGCCAAGTGGACGAGCTGTCACCGAGTGATGTCACTGTTTTCACTTCCACAGTCTGTGTCAGGAGGTTCAATTGGGTTTTACCTCCAACACAAAGCGTTTCTCTACCAGGTTCTGCACTTTTCTTAATATCTATTACTCTTTCTAAGTCAAACTCCTCTCCACCGGCCTCTCCTCTCCACCGGCCCTCTTCAGTGCACGGTTGGTAATCTTTGCTCTGTAATTGGGTCTGTTTCTCACCCGCCCCCCCCTCAGTCTTGGCGTCAGGACACAGGGGGAGGCAGAGCTGATTCCTGAGCTCGACGTGCAGAAACAAAAGGTTGGAAGGCAAACGTGTCATTTAGCTCTGGCGTGAGCTCCACGAGCAGACACGTCTGTGGTAATAAGAGAGGAGGAGGCGTGGGGCCTGCAGCACACTCTGTTTTCATAACAGATGAATAAGCAGCTGTGGGGAAATGAGGGTGAAGGTGAGAGAAGGGTAAAGACAATAATGTGATGATGCTCTTTATTTTTTTAACTTTTGCCAGTGGCTCGTGCTGCCCTACTTCCTGCTGCATGACACAGAAATGTATGTTCTCCCTCAGGCTGGAGCACAAAGCACCTTGTGATGAGCAACTCTTTCCCCTCCCGTCACCAGTGGACACTGTCCTCAAGGTCACGGTGCAGGTTGTCCGATGCCTCCCTGCTCCCCCCCCCCCACTGCCAGGCCGCACTGTATCAGAACACACAGAGTTGATATTGTGTGAGTGAGAGGCAGCGCTCATGTGATGTTCAAGGGGGAGGTGAATAGCTGTCATTCATAGGACGGAGCCCGTTTGCTCGGCAGCTGCCCTCTGCTCCGACTTCAGACCCCGATCCTGCCTGTCAGCTGCTGCTGCTGCGCCTCCTCCAGAACTGTCGTCCCCCTGGAGGCGCCCGCAGAGGGTGAAACCCGTTTGTTGTGCTTCTGACAAATGGGATCAACTCCACTTAAAGACTGAAACATGAACTCTTGTGACACTTTGATTTGAATTTGTAAGATCAGAGTGTTTCTTTCTTCCACATAGTTTTTCCATTAAAGAAAAGTGGAAGTTTTAGGTTTTAAAGGAGAAAGTGAACCTTAAAGTGATAGTTCAGCCAAAAATGAAAATCCACTCATTATCTACTCATCTCTCTGCTGATGGAAGGGGTGGGTGAAGGCCACAAAACACTTTTGGAGTCTCAGGATTAAACTGTTTCAACCAAGCCCCACATTCAAATTCAACTCAAAACGAGATCATTTAAACTGTGTTTTTCGCCTTAGTGTCCTCTGTTCTCCACTCAGGAGGACTGATTTTTCATTTTGGGGTGAACTATAATCGGTGCAGTGCCCTGGTGGCAGTGGTTTGACTTTAACTACCCAGTGTGCCTCAGCTGATCCTCTGACACTGGATCTGTCTGTGCTGCTGCCACTCAGACCACAGCTACTGGACATTTACAGGAGAGTCAGCAGCAGCAGCGGCAGCAGCAGCAGCAGCAGCAGCAGCGGCAGCAGAATGCAGCTCTGGCAGGAAGCAGCTGAGTGACTGGAGTGAGTGACATATGGGAGAGGAGGCTCTGCAGGATGGACAGTGAAACCCACCAGGGCTGCAGACTGTGGGTATTTAGAGGAACTGTGAAGGTGGAACACATGAGAGAGATGATTGGTTGTGTGCATGCACCTGTTTTACATTCTGAGGAGCCTCAGACGTGGTGTTTTGGACGTGAACAGTCCGGACAACAATCAGCAGATAATCCTGTTAAGCTGTTATTACTCTAATAGCTGTGTTGTGCTCGGCAGATGGACACTGCAGGGGTGTCTGATCTGACTGTTCTTTTGTAGACCAGGGTCACACACGTCCCTTTTGTTAATATTCTAAAATTGATGCTTTAGTTGAAGATTTGATGTTTTCAACCCTGTCCGTCCATTTGTTGGTCGGTTTGTCCGAATGTTTTTCTCCCTCCTCGCTCCCACAGATTGGAAGTGAACCAGGAAGTTTGCCACAGCTACATTCGTGTATTTGTGACCAGGCCCTTTGTTTACCATTGTGAGATGTTTCAACATTTTTCTTGATTTCTCAGAGAATAGTTCATTAAGATCCATGAGAACATCAGGCTGATTTGGTTTTGTTCCAAATAAAAACCTGGACTGAGTGAATTTAAGTGTGGTTTCATCAGGGGACTTTTTGTAGCTCATGGGAGTAAATAGAAGGAATTTGTTCTGTTAGACCACAAACAATCATTACTGTGATCCCTGCAGACCTAATGTGGACATGATGTGACTACAAGTTGCTTCTATAAACCTGCGTCTCTTTGTGATTGTATCTATGCAGCAACCGCAGGATCCAAAACAACTCAGGCACAGTCTCTCCGAACACGACTGGGAGTCATCTTTTAAAGGTTGCAGGAAACATTCTCATCAGCTCACTCCCTCTTTTCCAAGTCCTCAGACAACTCGTCGCTCTTTATAAACCAATGCAAGCGGCCACAACATCGACAGGAACGCACGACTGAGTGTTTCATTCTGATCTGTGGTGGATTCTTTTGGGTCTGATGTATACGCAGTTTATGAAAAATCAATTCGGCTGAGCGGGTTGTTAATGGCTTTTATTGTCCGCCTGTCTGTTCTGCGTCTGTGTTTCTGGAGCAGAACTTAAAAACAAACTTTATGTTCATCAGGTAGTTTATTTGTACCTTTTCATATTTTGGGTTTCATAAGAGAAATATTACGACCTAAGGAAACTGTGATCGCACCAAACGATCGGCTGCATGGATCTGTCATCTCATGGTGACTTTAGTTGGTTCTGGATTTATGGATCTGCTCGCCTGCTTTACTGTGCAAAGACACAATTGTGTGGGTTTGAGTTTGTTTATAAGTTGAGAGCAGGTGGTTTTGAGTTTCTGCCCAGTGTCTGGTTCTAGTATTGAAAAAGCCACATAGTTTTTCGAGCAGCCACATTTGTCAGCATCATCTCAATTGTGTTGGTTTCCAGACAGAGCTCTTCAAATTCTTCAGTTTATGAATATTTACATACATAGACAATATTAAATTATAAGTATTTTGAAATATTACTCAAAATACACAGTTTCCCAGTGTGTTCTGTTTGAATGGTTCCAGTATTTCTTTGCCCTGAAAACAAGTGTAAGAGTTGAAGTGACGTCCATGAGCTCATGTCTCTATAGGGACACTCAGTCATTGTTGTTTACGTGTCCTCGACATGACGACGTCTGCACCACTCGAGTTCAATGCTC